CGTGTCGTACAATTCAGAGAATCAGCCTCCTAATTTGAAATTTCAAATTTCGCCAAATTGCTTCTTAAATTGTGCCTCACTCAGTCCAATTACCATTACTAAAAGTTTAATCCTTGATTGCAATGATCTTACTTTAGGTTTTTTTAGAGTGTAGTTTTATTCAGTCGTAGCTGGATCTCTGAGGAAAGGCTCAACATATTATAAACTGCAGTCCTCGTATTTCCTCAAATACGCACCCACGCTCTTTTAAGCACCCTTTCCCTATTAAGCGCCCAACCCTAGGACAAAATGTCAGACAAGCACCCCCTCGAATAAGCGCCCACTTCCCCTCCCCCGTCACTTTCTTTTAATGTGGGGATACAAAGAAACCTGTTTTTATTGTTACTTTATTGATACCTCGGTGTGTAAACTGTACACATCATGGACTAAGATACGCTTGATTATCAACATTAGAACTTAGTAAGCGCCCTCCTTCAAATAAACGCCCACCTTTTTAGCCGAAATTTTAAATAAGCCGCCGGGCGTTTATTCGAGGAAATACGGTACTTGTTCCTAGAAAAGAAAACTCAACCTAGTTGCTATACTCTGGGTTAAACGACTTAAACTTCACTATCTTTCGAGGAACTGAGCCCAGAGTCATTTGGCGTTTTGCAAAATACCCCTATTAAATGTCTTAAGAATCTTTCAGTCAGATCTAATTAGCAATTAATGAATGAGGCTGAATAGGATATGAAGAATTAAGCAGATCGAGGAGGGTGTTATCCACCGAGGCAGAAAAAGAAAATACGACAGAAAGGGTAGAAATGATTAGTTGTAAAATAGTCTCAGCAGCGAGAACAATTTTGGAAATTCCTGCATCCACTCCCAAATCATACTTCCCTCACCAAACGCTAAACAGGTTTTCACCATTATAATATTTTAAGGTGGCTCGATGGGATTTTTCAGGGACAATTCCTCCGAAGTTTGAACATTAACTACGTCTCCATTAACAAAGATTTGGAAAAATGACTAAAGATGAAAATTTGTTTTGAGCAACGAAATGACGTCATGACCAATTCTTCTTGCAGCCGTATTACTCGGCACTGGGAGGTTGTCTTTTTCAAAATCGAACACGGAAGCTTTTTCGCCCAATACTGCCTCGATGTTCTTGACGTTTGAGTGGAATCCGGGGCGTTATTGAGATATTTTAGGATGAATTAAGTTTTTATGGTTGGAAATTCAGCGAAAAAACTGGATAATCTTGACTTTCGGTTCGTATGTAATTTTATCTCAAAGAAGTTTCATTCACTTGAAAATCGTGGTTCTTTTTTACGATTTAGACGTGCACATTTTTACTATCCACCTTGTTAACCAGGATAAGTCAACATTTTGTATATTTCTCATATAAAGCTATGTACCGTCGCCATATTTAAAGTCCGCAAAATTGCCCGCAGCGCGCATGACCGTCCGTCATGTTGTATTCAATTTCCGGCCATGGGGATATCCTAAAGCCTGTTTCAAACGTTGTGCTACTGCCGTGCTAACCTGACTCGACTGTAGCTCGACTGCAGCACGACACTAGCACGACTTGGTTTCAAACGTTGAATTTAATTCAGTGGAATAGAACGGCTGTTACCGAAAACAAAACGCAAAAATAAAGAAACGGTTTAGCAAACTTTTAAATGTATTCTTATCTATTTTTAATTTATCAATTGAGTTCGGCACGGCAGTAGTGCGACGTTTGAAACCAAGTCGAGTTACTGCCGTGTAGCACGGCAAAGCTTGCCGTGCTACACGGTCTACACGGCAGTAGCACGACTTGCTTTCAAACGTCGCGCTACACTGCCCTGCTAAAGTCGAATTTAATTCGATTAATTTAGTTCGGCACGGCAGTAGCACGTCGTTTGAAACGGGCCTAAGCCAATCACAAGAAAGAGGGATTTGATTTATAGCATGCATTGAGGTTAAGTGCTTTTGATGGCGTTTTTTGCAAATAAGCGATAATTTTGAAAGCGCTCGATAGACTTTGTAAAAAACTTTGCGATTCTTGAGATGATTTTACAATAGTTTTTCAAACTTTAAAGTATTACGAGGATAATTCGCTTGGGGCCGTAACCTGTGATCAGGCTTTCTAATGAGAAGAGAGGAAAAGACATAGTGATCATGATAGATCTTTAGAGATATAGTGGCCATTTTTTGATAAATGAATAAATAAAGTTTGTTAAAATAATTGCATAAACACGAAGATTCTTAGCCTGAATTTCATCCGATTACTTCGAGTCGTTATTACTCCCTCAGTAACGACGTTGCTGAGAGAAAACGACTCGAAGCAATCGGATGAAATTCAGGCTAGAAGATTCTAACATTTAGTTCGGTTTTAGTGTCTTCATGTACGTAAAATATTTTGCTGCAAAATTTCCATGTTTTTTTTATATATATATACTTTTGGCTACCCGGAACTGTCGACAAGTAGGTGCATATTCCAAAGTAGGTCATAAAAGAGCTGTTTCCCCGCCAGAGAAAAATCTTCAACAGGCTTCGAAATTTACACGTCGCTTGTTAAGCATTATTTATTTAATTCTTACATCCGTTTCCGTCTTTCATGTTTCTTTAACTCTAACAAAAAAGTCATGATAGCAACATTCGACAGACTGGGGATTTCAAAGGAAGGCAAGTTGGATAACGAAAGTTGCAAAGTAAACACAATAATTCAGACTTCCTCTACAGAATACCAAGCAATAATTTAAGGTCACTCATTTTGCTTTAGAAAACCATGCAGCTAAAATTTACCGTTTACAGTGATACAGAGTACAACAATCGTAGTAGGGAAATTTCCCTGAATGGAAAATCAATATCCGGTCTTGGGTAGCAGAAAGGTCGCAAAATCTATTTTTGCTCACTTACATCATCAGTAAGATCCAATGAGAGCGCTCAGAAATTTGACGGGGAAGTACCTTGTTTATGGGGGAATGGACGCCATAAAATGCGAACTAAGTTTCATTTTCTTCAGAGTGAATGTAAAACACATAGTGTACGAGGAAAGAGAGAATTAACAGTTTTCAAGTGATAATTTAGTTGCAAATCTTTGAAGGTAGGCGGATTATTTTAATGGTGTCGATTAGGCGGCGCATCATGAAAGCATTCGCTTTGGTACGATGGGCTCAGCCATCGGCAATGTGTTGGTGTTCAAGCGAGCTAAAACTCGTTTTGTTTTACAACGAATGAATGCGACAAAATGAAAGATCTGCGAAGGATTGTGAGGATTGAGTTATACCACTCTGAGTTAAAGGGGAAACGAATTTTCGCTGTTGAATACCGACACATATTAGTTTCTTAAACTGACGTGCATCAGACGTGAAGCTCTTCTGATGTACACAGCCCTGACTTCTGTGCCATAAAAAATAAGTTTACATTTTTTATTGACTCGTATCTCATGAGGATAAGGCTCATAAGTCGTCTTCTTTTATTTGAGCATTCCTGGCACCTTTTGTGGAACACTGAATAAGCTATAAGAGAAGCAATTATATTAAATGTTGTGAGGAGAATTGAAGTGAAGTTAATTCACTTCGGTAATCATCACATCATTTGATTAAACTTCCTAAGGTTTCGGGTCACCGCGAACTTATTGTCAGGCTTTTTTACTCTGAAAACTGGATGAAAATGATATTTCCAATTCCTTTGCCAACTTTTTAATTTTTTGAGCAAAATCTGAAAAATAGAAATATAGAAGTTTGACTTGGTAAGCTACTGTAGCAATTTTATCACTGATTTTGAATATTTAACAGAATCCTAATCTTCGCCAGCAAACTGACGATGGAGATCACTTGACATGGTGGTCATGTGGTCGCAAGAGACAAAGACTTCATGATCTTTTTGTTCAAACTATAAACAGTTAATGGGTAGTGAGTTGGAATGCAAGGCAAAAGTTCTTTGTGCTAATGTCTCCTTCATTTTCATGTCTTCAGTGCTTTAACTTACTCTACTTTGGGATTCAAGTATGAATAGTGACCGACAGATAGTGCCCTGGGGGGAGGGGTACTCCCATAAATTTTGGATCGATATTGCTGCCCAGGGTCTTAATCCCAGACAATCAAAGGGTGAGACGAGAATTTATGCAGTTGTGAAAGCCTGAAAAAATTCAGGTTTGCTGGGATCCCTGACCTGGGCGGCACATACCTATCTACCCCATATAGTCTGTAGCCCTGCCCCGGGAAAATGGCAGTGCTGGGGCTAAAAGCCATTCTCAGGTTATACCAGAATTTCCTGTTAGGGCTAGGAAACAAAGAAAATCCTGAATCAATCTAGTTTGAATACTGGTTTAACCTAAAAATGGATTTTACCTACAACAGCAATACTGTTTCTGTGAAACATTCTAATACCAAATTACAGTACATTGTAAGTAGTGTTGCAGGCAATGTTTTTAGGACTGTCAGTCCCTATTTTGGAGATATGAAATGTGTAATAAAGGGTCATGTGGCCAACATTATTCATGTTTGTGTAGGCTAATAATTTGGTCCTCGGTAAATTATGGATACCACAAAGTTCTGGTTTTATGCTCTGGGCTACTAAAACTTACTATTAGCTATAACAGTGATAATGAATACCTGGCACTTAGAAAAAAAGTTGATGTGGAGGTATTAATATCTGGAGTATAGGAAGGGAGGATTATAACCCAGCTAGGATGAAATAGCGTATTTGAGTGTAGATAGGCCTGTAAGTGGGTGAGCTTGTAACTTGTTTGGCTAAGCTTATAACCAGAATTCTCTGTTAACTGAACAATCAAAATGAACAGTCTACTCTTATCAATAATATTACAAACTACAATATTATTAAACACAAAAAAGTTTTGTCTTTGAGTTTTTTTTTGTGTAATTTTGGTAACAGCATACCTTAAGCTCAAGATTATCTTGCAAGATTAGCACAGTAGTTTTATGATGATTGTGTTTTGATAACTGCATCATTTGGTATTTAAAATACAGTAACCAACGTCACTCCTGGCAGTGAAACCATCTTCTGCTACCATGGCAACCAACTCAGAGAGACAGATAGGTGAAACACTTACGGACAGCTTGTTAATAGATATATTGACCCCAGGCTATCTACCCGATGTATCTGCATTACAGGTGCCGCCTGCTGCATACCAAGGTAAATATAATAATTATAATTATTATTCCAAGGCTGTTTTTTAATTATTACCTTTTGGATTGAAAGTGGCCTTGTCAAGCTATTTGCTATCTTTTTAAAAAGCTAAAACTTTGTTTCCAGCTCAGTATTGAATTCCAAAAATGATGGTCCAGTTTTGTTATTTAAGACTGTAATTTAGGCATTGAACCTGTTTCCTGTTATCTGTTACAACTGATGGCAAGGATGGACAAAAATTGAAACTTGAAAAAGTTTTGGGCCAACTTTTTCAAGTTTTGATATTTTGCTTGTAAAAAGAAAAAAACAAGAAAAACATATTCTTAAACGTCAGCAATTTGTTGAACAATTTGCATAAAAAAATCGTAATGGTTGGGGCTTCCTGTTGAAATTTGTTTGATGCCTTCTCCATATCTCTAATGGAGCATTTTGTGTATGGGCATTTTGTGTATCTTCTAGATTAAACGCCGGACCCTCGATTAAACGCCGGCTTCAAAGAAACCCCTGGTTAAAACTGCCGATTTTTAAAAAGACCGGGTGTGTTTAATTGGGGCCTGGCATATATTTATGGTCGAGTTTACAAGGACCAGCTGCAAGTAACTAGAATCTTGTGAACAGCACTGCTATGAAATACGGCTGTACCAAGTACTGGTACAGTGTGTTGTTTTGGTATTTAATTAATAAATGTTCAAAGGAAAAATACTGCCTTAACTAAAGTAGGATGGATGCTGCACAATAAAGTGTATGGTACCATAATACTGTAACTTCGGGTAATGTATGTACATTGTCATCCTTGGAGTTCCTGGGGCAGGACAAAGGTACGTAAAATCATCTGACGTGACAAACTGCCCCTGAGTCTCCAAGGGTCAGTAATTATAAATCAACGTGAAAAAAAAATTGCATCTCATTAATAAACGCTAGACCCCGATAAAACACTAGCCTCAAAAAAAGGCTGGGTCAAAACTGCCAATTTTTGAATAAATACCAGAGCAGTTTAATTGAAAAATACGGTAAGCACAGAATTGACCAGTGACAACAATATCCTCTTGACATACCCCCTAGTAGGTGGAGGACTTTATATTATACACACATACTTACATACATACAACATTTGTGTGTAAATAAATTTTTTTTACACACAAATTATATTAATTCAAAGCTACAAGCTTGTGGGGTGGTGTGCAAAAATTACAAATAAAATAAAATGTTAAGGTGACTCGACCCAGTTTTTTTAGGGGGTACCATCCTACTTTGAAGCTCTCTGGTATCCCCACCTTTACTTTTATCGTAAGTATAACACATAGAATGGATAACATATAGATCAGTCTACAATATAACATAAAATTTTTGGCGATCGGAGTAAATGTCACGTGGTTATAATGCCACATCCCTTTGAGGTCTGAGTCGAAAATCTGCTGTTGCCGCCATTTTTTCGTGAAAATCTCTCGGCTACACATAGTGCGCATTAGTGCCTTGTGCTGAACCAAAATCGCAAAGACCCAATTTGAGAAATTCAGCGGTTTCCAAATTTAGGTCATAATTTATGCGAAAATGATAAGCAAACTTTACACGGATTATATCTAATAAACTATGAGATTCATCTCTGTATTTTGGGCATCCTTATAACAGATGGGTCCTTGCAAGTCAGCAAAACGCTTTAGGGCCTTGTAAATGCGCGCGATTCCGAGCAAAGCAAACATATAGAAATTATAGTTTTCGCTATTTGTTGACGTTTGTCAGCGTTTAAGAGTCAATCTCACGAAAAAAGCATTTTCTTTAAAAATTCGTAGTTTTTTTCCTTCAAATTTTTACAGGGCCACAATTGATTTACTAACAACCCGGACTCTGAATTTCATAGTCATTGAAAAACCGTGACATTACCTTCTGTAAGCCCAAACTTGAGTAAACATTGAAGATTTTTAGCGTTTTGGCTGAGTTTGTGCTTTGGGAGTTGTCTATTGTTTCTAGTCTGTCATTATACAGCATTCTTGCTCAGCACGCATGCAATGACCCCATTAAAAAAAACTGGGTCGAGTCACCTTAAAAGTTATTAATACTAGGGAATAAAATCATTCAATCAAAAATGCACATTAAAAGTACAAAAAACTCCTAGATCTGTTGTTAAGTTTGTGGGGCTTAAACGTTGAAATTACAATCACTAAAAGTGCAAGACTTAATGACTTTTTTCAGAAAAGATTTCATGTCTGTGCAATCTAAAATAGAACCATTTGAACAACCTATGGTGTTCCAGAGGACACCCCCTCTATAGGCAAGAAATGTAATCAGGAAATGTAGAGTGTTTTGCTTGTTCAGTAAACAGTAATAAGAAATAATAAGACATATAATTTTTATTCTTTGTAGGTCCTTACCTGGAGATTCTTGAACAACCTAAACAGGTAACAAAATAAAAAATATATAAATTCTTCTACATTTAGGCCAAGTGAGGTTTTGATGTTAGTTGTTAATGTGGTTCAATTTATTGTATTTGGTTTGAATTTTATGTGCCTTTGTTTTCATACCCGACCATACCTTTCAATTTATGCAATGGAAATTAGAACTTATATGATGGTTAGACTTGAACCACACAGCATATGCATGCTACTTTAGCAGGGTTGTCACTAAGATTTCAAGTTGCCGGGTAAATACAACAAGTAGGCGGGTAATCAAACAGTTAGGGATTTCTTTTGGTTTTTTTTTTGTTCTATTTTCCAATAAAAGTAGCCGGGGGCCACTCTCTTAGTAGCCGGGGAAAATCCCTTAATGATAACCCTGCTTTAGATGTGATATTTTTTCTTTGTTTTCTTAGAGAGGCTTTCGTTTCCGGTATCCTTGCGAGGGCCCATCTCATGGAGGCTTACCAGGCCAATATTCTGAGAAAGGCAAGAAGTCATACCCCTCAGTCCAACTGAGTAACTATCATGGCCCTGCCCGTGTTGTTGTGTCATTAGTAACAATCGACGAGCCTTACATGCCACATGCACACAGTCTAATTGGAAAGAATTCCAATGATGGGGTGGTGACAGTACAGATTGGCCCAGAGCATGGAATGACAGCAAGGTATTGTAACTTGGACATTGTAATGAAAATTAAGGTTACAGTAAGACATACATTGTACATGTCAGAAATATGCTTTTTGGAAAGAGTTTTTTGCCTGGTAACCACACAGCAATTCCTGTTTCTTCTTAAGGGAGGTCAGAGTTCTCATTTACCTTCAGTTTTATAGATCTGTCCTTATTGATTCCTCCTTTTGAAAATGTCTCCAAATTGCCATCCAACTCAGGCCTGTAGCCAGGATTTTTTATGGGGAGGTGTGATCTATCGTGGAGATGGACCAAACGATGCCAGAGGTGCTAGTTTCTGGGTTGGGGGGAATTAAGTTGCCTGAGACTGCATTTCAATTATTTTGAAAAACTTGGATATTTTTCAAACGTTAAATCTTCAAAAGTATTTTTTTAATAGGGTACTTTATTTTACACTTTGTTAGAATAGAAATGTGGGATGTTAAAAGAAAAAAAAAAGGAGAAAGAAAGTTGTAAATCCGTATTATTCGCTAGGTTTGATGCATGATGTTGCATCATGATCTTTCAATAGTGTACCAAGCTCAAGCTTCCTTGCATGTTTCTTAGAAACAGATCAACCACAGACTTCTTTCTTGTCAATATATGTTAGATAGTGGATGTGTTTGTTACCCAGTGAAGAGAGCCTCTCTTGTGCAATGAATACTACTTTTTGGTCACAGAAAATAACTTATATTTTAAACAACCCTCAAAGACAAAAGGGCCACACAAAAAGGAACAATGCATATCACAATCTCCTTCAAGAGAAAAAGGATCTCAGATCTCCCTCTTGTAATTGGAAGGAGCCCATCAGTGGCTTCTGTAAGTAGCCTGCGTAGCAAGTGTTTCGGTGCATTTTCTGAGCAAAGAATGAGAAACAAGAAAAGTACAGTGAGTGAAAGAGTGGGGAGGAGTTGGTCAGCAAGAAAAGGTGGACCACTGGGATCTGTGGGGGGGGGGGGCAAGTGCACCCATCACCCCCCCTCTCTACGGGCCTTGCAATAACCGTAAATCTCCATGGCAACCAGCTCTTGTAAGCGACCACCTCCCATAAGCCCTCACCTATCCACAGCACCGACATTTTTCTTTACAGCCTTACAGTCGATACCTTTCACAAATGACCACCTCCTGTAACTGACTACTGACCTACTTAGCTGACTTGCAGTTTCTTGAGCTTTGATAAAGGTGAAACATGTCAATCAATCTTAATTATGTCGCATGGGAAAATAGCCTTAAGTTAACCTGGAGTAAAAAAGAATTGGTTGTGTTTGAAGCTTTATCTTACTTAAAGTAATTATTATAAGTTACTTGTCTTGAAATATTTCTTAGCTTTTTTAGGCTCCGGTGTAAAGACTACCTATGTTTGCTCTATGTACTGTCTTACTTAGAGAATACGAAGAACTGTTAACAACTGCAGGGAACTGCACAATCATATAGACCATCAAGTGGATGTGCCCAGACCTGACTTCTCAGGAGGGATCACCTGTTGTTCGATTCTTGTAAAAGATCGCCTATCATAAGCAACCACTTAGTTTTTGCCTTTTTTGGTAGTAACTCATCAGAGGTTCATTTTTAGAAGATCCTTTGACCATCAATATCTTGTTACTTTGGTTATTTAATGCATATGATTGTTAATAATATATACTTTTTCAATAATGATGATGATGATGATAATTTTTCAATTTTAGTTTTCCAAACCTTGGTATTCAACATGTAACAAGGAAGAGTGTGTCTAAAGTGCTGATGGATCGATACCTTAAACTTCAGACACTCCACACAGCAACCCTCAATGCACTATCAGTGGACAGCAAGGGGTTTAATGCGGACACAGCAATGAGGGATCAAGGTTTAGCTGATGGTGATCTCTCAGAATTTAATAAAAATGTGGCTGAAGCAATTGCGGGTGAGTTACAAATAGTAAATGAATAATTCTAATGTACAGTTTACTTCAACAGCTGTACCCTTAACAGTCTGCTCATGTAATGTAATTTAATTTATTACACAAATATAAAAATTTAATTAAAGAAAAATGCAACTTTGTGATTTTTTTTCACAAACATTTTTCAGTTGGCATAGATACATACACTAGCATTTGACTTCTAATCAAATTGTTCACTGTACAGACCTGAGCCCTCGAGTTGAAGTTTTGATGTTTTTTGTGGTCTTTTTTTAACTTAATGTGGGTTTTGACATCTAAAAAATTCATGTGAGAAATGTATATTTTACAGGTGAAAATTATATCCATGTTAAAATTTTTAACATAGGTTGATTCTCATCAAGTTCCTTTGTCTCCTAGGGCCAGGAGTTTTAAAATGGCTTTATCTTGTTCATCTTAATTAGCCAATTAACACTAAACAGTTCCTGTCATTTTTAAATCAGACAGTCAGTGGCTTCTCCCATAGTGGGTGCAGGGTAACTGAGTTCTGTTTATCTGATTTACAGAGGAGGAGTCACGCAAAGTGCGGCAGATGGTGGAGGAGCAGAAGACTAACATGAATTTAAGCGCTGTGCGACTGTGCTTTCAAGCCTACCTTCCTGATGAGACTGGCTGCTTCACTAAAGCATTGCCACCTTGTATCTCAGATCCAGTTTATGATTCAAGTAAGATGATCTTAAACTTGGCTTATTCATACATAGGCACTGTAAATGCTTGCAAATATTATTGATACTGCTATATCCTATTCTTCAGTTGATGTTTGAATTTATAGTGTCAGCTCTTCTTGGGTGTTATTATTAAATAAAACCTTTGTGTTCATAGAACTGGGTCATTTTTATGCCCCTATCTCCTCACATTGGCAATGACCTCTTGTCACTTTCTCTGTCTCCGTAGTTGCTATTGTGGTGAGGTTTTAGCTGTAGTCATAGGGCATGCATTGTACAGATTGTCTGTTATATAACCCTTGGCTGTTTTTCCCAATCAGAAGCCCCATCAGCGTCCAATCTGAAGATTTGTCGCATGGATCGCAACTCTGGATGCGTTACAGGAAATGATGAGGTGTACTTGCTTTGTGACAAGGTGCAGAAAGGTATGTCATTTTAAAGTTTTTGTACATGTCAGATGACATTAGAAAGGGTGAGAAAAGATTTTGTCAATATTATAATTAGCACCCGACTATCAAAGCATACATGTAGGCATTAGTCTCTGAATCATGGTTTCTGATGCCTGGGAGTTTGGGGGCAGGGAGTGTGTACTCCATGATCAGTGTTATGGTGGGTGTGTAACACTGGTATCCTGGAGCCATGGTCTACACCAGACCATGTTATATTATTACTCTATTCCCCAGGACACCAGTAATAGTTGTTGTGAACACTTTGACTCTAAAATCCTTATCACCCATCTGTTTCTTATGTTTCGTGTATATCTGTAATGTGTTGCAGACGATATTGAAGTTGTGTTTTATGAGACTGACCCTAATACTGGCAAGAGGTCATGGGAAGCTCATGGAGTCTTCTCTCCCACAGACGTCCATAGACAGGTGCAGTTTATCCGCAATAATAGTAATTTAACCCATATTTATTTTGGGCCCAGAGATTTTGGTGAAAAACACAATTTAAAGCTAGATAAGCCATTTCCTAGTCCTTATCTAACCAAATGAAGCAAAACTGCCCAAAAGCATTGTTTACTTTGCAAGTTAAACATGATGCTGGCTTTCTTCCCAAAGTAAAGTTATGTGTGTACAACTTCTGAAGTTCGGGTGTGGGCAGAATTTGAGTCTGCATTTTCTACTTTTATATTTGCTAATCCTTTCCTCTTCTCCCCTTCTTTTTTCTTTTCTTTCCCCATTTTTTTTTCTTTTGCTGGGTATTTACTATAAATCCTCATTATAAAGACAGTTTGAAGAGTTAATTCCATGAAAACCCCAGGAAAAGAATCTTTTGAAGGACACTGGTAGCAATATTAGATTGTGGAACAAGATATCATTGGAAGTTTTAGGTCAACGTGACGTGTACTTGGTTTTTTTGCATTTTTCTCCTACTTATCTTGAATCATTCTCATTCTGGTATGATTTGAAAGATCTTTTCCCCATGCAGGAGTTAGGAATAAAAGTTATCTATGACTATTAAAATTGTTTTTGTCACAAGGGGTACAAGGGTTATGCATGAGTTTTGAATGTATTTAAATTGCATGCCTTAAACCTGGAGCTTGGAGGGTTGTAAGTTCGATTCTCACCTGGAGCTCGGAATTTTTCTGAGTTTTCTGGTCTTAGAATTCTTCTTCTTTCAAATTAAACATGTAAGTAGCAAAGGATTTGTAGAACATCCCCCCTAAACTGAATAACAATGAAATTTATAGGTTGCCATAGTGTTCAAAACACCTGCATACTGGAATGTTGCCACTGAAAATCCTGTTAAGGTTCATCTTGAACTGAGGCGGAAGTCAGATCAGGAAACCAGTGAACCTGTGGAGTTCACTTATCAACCTCAGATGTTTGGTATGTGGCTCTCTTTCTCATAGCCTATGAAAACATCTGTTTCTCCTTGCTCTTCGCCGTTGGGGACGTTTCGTGAGGAGGAATGTCTGTGACTCAAGGACAGAAATTCCATACTGATGATACAAATCAATGTTTACATAATAAATCCGTAGTCGTGGGGTTCCAAATATATTTTTGTCCAATTTTCTGAATTTTACGTGTCTTCTGGTCAATTTTGGTGAAGTGTTGTGTTCATCTGCCAACGAGCTCCAGCAAAACTCAATTGCTTCTTCTAGAGAACACTGTATTTTGCAAATATTGACTGTTTTGTTAGAGATTCTTCGTGTTTACATTTGACCTTTGTGGCCTTTTGTCTTTTGTCTGTCATTCATAAACAATAGCTAAAACAATGTAACTACTCCGTCGACCAATCATCGCTTCTGACTGGATTTCGGACCGATTTTACGTCATCAGTATGGAATTTCTGTTGCTGAGTCACAGATGTTTCTCTGCTCGAAATGTCCCCAGTGGTGAAGAGCGAGGAGAAACGGATGTTTTCGCAGACTATCTTTCTCAGAGATTGTTTAGTTAGAAACAATGATAGCTATTGCTACAGTGTTGACAGAATCATCGAAAATTTGCTATTTAAATTATATGAAAAATATTAAATAATATGCAAGTAGATAAATATTGCAAAATCAAAGCTGTTGATTTGAATGTATTTTGCAAAAAAAGAATATGTATGTTACAGGCCAAAATTAAATTCAGAATAATTATTCACTTAGAAGGGAGGCAATCTAAAGCAAAGTAGTAGATGCATATTTAAAAGCTTTTTCTACGTCAATGTTGTCTCAATCTTATAATCCTGTAAATTTCATCAATGTAAAATCATTTCTTATATGATTTTGGTGAGTGCAAGGCTTTCCTTGGCATTGACAGGAATAATATCAGAATTAATCTTTTGCAAGATTTGTTATTTCTATTGAGATGTATATATTGCTTTTGTTTTTAGACAAAGAGCAGATTGGTGCTAAGAGACGGAAGAAGATTCCGCATTTCTCAGACTATTTTCCAGGGGGAGGGGGTGGCCCACCCAGTGTGGGTGGTGCTGGTGGTGGAGGAGGTTTTGCTGGTTTTGCTGGGTTTGGATTGTTTCCAACCTTTAACTTTATGGGATTACAGTCCAGTAATCAAGGTGAGTTTAACAGAAGGTACTTGGCTGTTGCATGTGGCTCTTTTTTAAGGTGCAGCAAAGATTCTTTGAAAAATGATAAGTTAAACATGTTGTTTTTCCTGTTAACTTCAGCTGCCCTCAGATGTTCAAACGTTGGATAGCGCTGTCCACCAGGCCCCAGTTGTTCAAAAGGTGGATAATGCTATCCACTGGATAACACATTATTGGACTGACCAACACTTACATGTACATGGATAGTGATTTATCTGGTGGATAGCCCTATCCAGTGTTTCAACAACTGGGCCCTGATAAATTACTATCCAGCGAATAAGTGTTGTCTGCTGGACAGAAATTTATCCAGTGGATATAAGCGTTATCCACCCTTTTAACAACTTTGGCCTGATCTGTAGTACTTTTGTCAGGTAACTTTGTGGACAGTGCCTTCCATGTTTTGATACTAGTAACCATGTTTTTGAAGACAGTCATTGATATTTTTGTTATGTAAAATTGATTTGATCAGATTTGTTCCTGACCATGCAATCAGCACTCTTCTTGGTCACTTTTTATATTCTGTCCTGACTTATAATAATATTACCTATGTACGTTGTACCATTTTTTCCACAAACATTTGACTTGATTCACACAACTGAATCAGAATATTATTGTCTGTCACATTAAGGAGATGGCTCAGGCACTTCTCAGCAAGGACAGTCGACTTCATCTGGGCAGACACATATGGCTCAACAATCAAGCAGGTTACCAGAATCAGGTTAGTGGATCAGCTAATGGCTGTGAGATTTCAAACCATAGCACACCATTATACTTTATTGCTTGTTAATTGTGTTCCAAGGCAGGAATGATCCCCAGTGACTTTTAGTGCTGATTCCAGAAGTTTGTTCTTTAACATCTGCCTTAGAAACACTTAAAATGTTTGTTGTCTTGTGTTAACAGTAAATTGGTGTCAACTTGTTGAGTGGCTGTATTTAAGACTAGTGACTGGCTGTATGGTGTGTCCTGTAAGTAGCAGTAAGATAATAGTTAGCGGTATGTTATTGTTTTCATAAGTGTTTTGTCTGTGAATGTTTGAAATATAACAAAACAAAATTTTAGCTTAAAGAAGGGCAATACAGTGTCGTCGAAATTTTTTTATCGGTTTAATGGTTTTATTGGTAGTCTGATTAAATTTGCCTTGTTATAGAAATCTCACTCAATGAATTAGCCTGGAATCTTGCTGAGAAGTCAGCTGCAGCTATGCGTGATTATGCTACTTCGGGTGATGTGCGATACCTGCTTGCTGTACAGAGACATTTAACAGCTGTCCAAGATGATAATGGAGACACGTAAGTAACATGACTGTGTATAACTATATGTAATTCTAAATCTTAACCCTGATGCGCTTAGTTCATGCAGCTCTCTTTTTCTGCAGAAGCTCTTGTAGACTTCAAAAGTTGGCAATGGTTATATGGAAGATGGAAAAGGCAGGCCTCAGCCTTTCTCTAAATATCCTTCCTGTTTTTCTGCCTACTTTATTTCTACTCTCTGTAGCCTCTGTATGTACCAGTATAAGATGATGATGATGATTATTATTATGACATCTTTAGGACTTGTTTGGCACTCTTATTGCTGCAGTTGCCTTTTGACCCATTCAATTATAATAATTTCTGTATGTCTATAAAACTTGCACATGGAATTTTTACTGCTATTTTTGACTGCTTCAGTAGTTACCCCATTAATACTGACTTTTATATTTTCAAGACTGTTGAGAGTTGGGGACGTTTGAGAATAAGGAGTGCTTTTTCAAGTACATTTTAATAAAAATTATCTGATAGTGAATAAAAAAAATGTAAATAGTAATTATTTGATGCTCAAATGAACTAATCTACTTGTCTTAAACACTGGCTGCTTCATTTTGAGTTGACTTTTGATTTTTCTGTTCAACAGAGCACTTCATCTTGCAGTTATCAACTCACAGCAAGAAGTGATGCAGTGTCTTGTTGAAGTTATGGCTGGACTGCCTGAAACCTTTGTCAATGAATTTAACTTTTTAAGACAAGTAAGCAGTAATTATTGTTTTCTTACACTGTTGTTACAGTATAGTAGCATTGTAGTAAAAAAGAAGAATTTTATAACATAGCGCCAGAAACTCGAAATGAGTTTCTGATAGCGCGCATGCTTGCCCTATCTACATAGGTCCTTTTGAGTACCAACTTGGGAAGTTAAAAAAAGTCTCGTGCTCCCTAAACGCTTCAAGTGCATCTATAACTCGTTATACGCATGCTACAGTGTAAGCATGAAACGATTCTCAAAAAAACCTGCTTCATTGAGTGTCACTGTATCAAGAATGAATTAAGGTCTAATAAGGGCACTCTTGTTACACTGATCTTATCCCCAGCTAAAGATGGCATGGCCATTCCTAAGAGGTCATTAAAGCCACTCTTAATGCAAGCCATTTTCAGGCAAAGGGTAGAACCTTCTTCCCTGGTTTTTTCAAGGACACCGGTAACTGGTTTCACTCCAGGAATTAAACCCACAACCCTGTGTAGTTACCAACTAAGCCAACCCAGTCATGGTCAAAGTTAATTCTAAATCGGGTCCTGATCAAGTTTGCCTCTAGTTTGTCACATTCATAATTCTGAAATCAGCCAGTCAGTCAATCAGTTGGCCAGTTATTTACTCTGCCTGAGGTCCTGTTAGGGTCAAATTCCAACTAGGACATGGCCTTGAAACATTGACATACAGTGTAAGGTATGTGAAATGCGGGCAACATACCACACAAAGATGGGTTGAAAAAAACTGCGACTGTGACAAAAATTAGTGCAAATACATTGGTAAACTACAGACAGGGACATGGCTTTCTCCTCAATATGCAAAGCAAATGGTTTTGAAATTCAGACTAAGGACATATAAAGAAGGCCTTGCCAGAAAATCCATAGTCAGTAAATGGTTTCGTCAGTCATTCCTGATCTTTCATCCAGTCAGTTAGTTAGTCAGGCAGCCAGTCAGTCATTAAGTCATGTTAATCAATCTTTCTTCGCTGCCCTTCAGCTAATCAATAATAAATTGCCATGAAATATTTACTCTCCCCAGACTCCTCTCCACCTGGCTGCCATCACCAAACAGCCCCATGCTCTTGATTGTCTCTTAAGAGCTGGTGCGAATCCCAGGCTGCGTGATCGGCATGGCAACACTGTTGTGCACATTGCATGCACTTATGGAGATGGTGCCTGTCTGAAAGCACTGTTGAATCACAGTGCACCAAAAACTGTGCTTAATCTTCAAAACTACCAAGGCGAGTGCTTTTAGGAATATTCGACATGTGAAAAGCCTGGGCTACTTTAAACCTTCATGAACTAAGGCCTCTTGTATAAAACAGGGTAAAAAAGGTTTTGTCAGAGTTTGAAGACCTCAGTGGCACAACCCTACTTAAGCTTCTACTGTGCGCCCCAGCCTCCTGGGTAGAGATTTTGCATGGGTGTTACAAATGTGAATTTTCAAGGGATGATATTCGAGGGATGCCAAATTCCAGTTGTTTGAAAGTAACAGGGGATGGAGGGTTTTGTAGAGGAGGTGTGGGTTTTTCCTGGAACGACTCATCTTGTGATGTTGCAGAGTTCATTAGTTACCAAAATTGTCGAAAATAAGGCAGTACTGATAATATTTAATTTTGCTTTCAGGTTTGACTCCAGTCCATCTAGCAGTGTTGTCAGGCAGCAAAGATGCACTGAAACTTTTGAACTTTGCAGGTGCCAACCTGAGTGCTCAGGTGTGAAAAGTTTTCATATTTTTTCAGACTGGCCATTTTAAGTTTAGGCTGTGTGACCACATTTCATAGTCATCACCTTTTCAGCGTTAGTCCTTGGAAGTGGCCAAAAAATGATTTTAAATAACAGTATTAAAATACCATCGGTTATGTAGCATTTTCTCACGTAAGTCTACAAAACTGACGGTGTTTACCGTAGTTTTAAATCAGGTGGTTCGGTTTTTCTGCACCCCATTTGCACTTACATTCTGAGTGTAAATCCGCCATATTGCGCGCAATTTACACGCGTGTACTGTAAATGCTGCAATTCCCGTGGCCAGTGGTGTATCCCGGCCATGCTTTATAGTATGAACGTTTGATTATATTTGCTGTTCTCTGTCAGGATGGTACAAGCGGAAAGACCCCTCTTCACTATGCAGTAGAACAAGACAATCTTTCCTTGGCTGGTTTTCTCATTTTGGAGGTTAGTTTTCCTTGTCTAATTGCATCCGGGTAGTATCACCTGTGACTGATGCGACAGGGTCCGACGAGCTATGGGTTTGGGTGGGCAATGGTTTCGCTGGAATATTTTATCACTATTATTTACTAAAATTCTTTAATCTTTGTGTTGCATGAACATCATATCATATTGTTATTACGGTATGTTTTAAATCTACTTTTTTGTGCAGGAAACTAACAGAATGGTGATAAAAATTAGACAAATTTTTCAGGATTGATAGAAATAACCGCGTTTCTGGTGATTTCAGAAGCTCTAAATGTTAAACTTTTCGAGGAGAACATGCCCACGAACCCCTCCTAGATAAGCTCGAGCCATCGGCGCTCACTGAAGCCCACCAGTCTAAAATATGCTGCGCAGTCCCTGCACTATTATTAATCCATTAAACTGCGCTACCCTTTACTGTTATTAATCGAACCGTTTGGAACTAACTTTCAGGGCAACTGTGATGTAGATGCGTCCTCATTTGATGGCAACACCGCGCTTCACCTAGCTGCTGGATACGGACTCAAGGGACAGACCGCTTTACTTGTGGCTGCTGGAGCAGACACATCCTTACAGAACTCTGACGAAGAAACTGCTTTTGACTTGGCTAACGTAGCTGAAGTAAGGTTTTGTCAATGTCAACAAAATAATTGAGAAAACAGAAAGCACTATATAGAGAAATGCCTGTTGAAGAGTTGGAAGTAAGATTTGAAAAAAAGGTGTTCAGAAATTGTTTTCCAATGTAGTCCTGTTCGCTATGCATCGTATGATTGCTTTACCTTGACTCTCTTATCAATGAACGGACGCCAATACGCCGAAAGAATAGCTTAAACTACGATAAAGAAAAAGGGGGTGATCCTGTATTGATTTTAAAGCTTCACCCCCGTGGCTAGCCTTTTGGCTCTTGACCCACACTTAATTTGGGTTGGAAATCTTAATTTTACGTCCACAGTAAATTAAAAATCTCGACCCTGTCATTTTGTATCCTTGTAACTGAATTAGTTTCTACCATATGATTTGTCTCCAGGTTCAGGAAATATTAGATGAAGATGAAGCACTAAGTACCGATCCTTCTCAAGGTAGGCAACGAACTCGTAGAGTCTTAGCAATGCGGCACGTTCGATACTGTTGTGGTGAAAGGTTTTTTTTTTTTTTTAATCTTTCGGATGGCTCCATCACAAATGCCAAAAGTGCGGTGTCTTTAATTGCGAATTACCCGACAGGTGTCTGAAAAATGCGGTCTGTGCAAAATCTAGTAGTCGTTACTTACTTGTGCAAGACTTTGCAAGGGACCGAGCATTTGAGACGTCTCCAATACTGCTACATGGGTTGGGTCCTTCTTCAGCGCCATTTACAGACGTTGTGAGGTGACTCAGTTAAAGGTGGCACCCAAGACGTCATGTTGAACTGACCTGATTCGCTTATTTATATTTCTATTTTTCAGATATATCCGCTGGTGTGGCGAATATGAAACTTGGCCAAGGTTGGTGTCTTTACTCAAGATTTGTTGAAGAATTATCAGCCCTTGATCAATTAATTTTACCCCAAAACCTTGCTGATACGTGAATAAATCGCCGGGAGCTTTTTAAGGGGAGCGTACCTAACTCTCGTTCGGCCGTCTGCGTCCCTTGGCTTATCTTGTCTATTTAAGTACATGATATAGCATTATATACATATCACATTGATATTTTCAGGTGACCTGGACAAGCTAGACCCGTATGTTCGACGGAAAATGGCTCAAAGACTAGACATCCCTACTGACGCGAACTGGCGTGAGTTAGCCAGGAGGCTGAAGCTAGGTACATTAGAGAGGGCGTTCGAAATACACACGAGTCCAACCATTCAGGTGCTGGCTGAATATGAGGTATGTAGTCAGCTCTTTGATGCGTCAGATCGACTGTGGACATGTCGCAAGTATTGCTTTGTAACAATTATGGCTGGTATCTCTGTGGTGATGAAAAGTGCGCGTCACACCTCAGTCCGATCATAGAGTTGTTGAGACTGGCGCGTCACCAATCAGTAGACACGGAAGCTGTGGGAATGTTTTAACGCAAACCTCCACTGTTACAACAAGTTGACAAGTTGACATTACACTGCTGAAAATGAAGCTTTAATTTTAATTCTATTCCCAATCAGTGGATAGAAAATTTGGATGGCTATTGCTGGATTTGAATCCTGCCATCTGGCTTTAAATGTTTACGGAATAAGGCTATATTCCAATTTTTTTGACCTGTTGCCCCCAAACATTGCGTTGCCAAATTTGGTTGCTCCGGGCGATTTTCACTTATTCCTTTCCTTCTTGTCGCAGTCGTTGCAAACAAAGGAACCTCAGTTTATAATGAAATCGGAAACCACTTGACGTCGAAAAATTTCAAAATGGCAGCTCTCGAGAAATTTAGAGACGAAGACAGAGGCTATTCAGAAGTACATAAAGTCATTAAAGGGAGTTATAACTGTTATATGCTAACCTGTATTTCCTATGTTCGTTTTTCCCAGGCTGCGGAAGGAACTATCAAGACTTTAAGTGAGGTACTTTTTGACATGCGCAGAGGAGACGTGTTAGACATCCTTGAAGGCAGGCATGACTCCGGCTTTGACTCAGGGTTTGGATCCCAGTCTCTCTCCTTCAACAAATCAGAAGGTAATGTTTGTGCCTCCATCGATTTGGAATTAAAAGACGTCATTTTTGGACCTTTGGGTTTGTTACAACAATTCTCCAATTGCAAATTACTACAGGGCTTTCTGAGTTACCTTGGGAGTCCCCACTGGTATTGACTGGTGATTTTTATCCACATTTGTGTGCAAATAAAGAGAAAAACCAAGCATATATCATTGAAATTGGCTGTATGAGTGGGTGATGAGTATAAAAAATGCCGCATAAGGTCATCAATATTCCAAGTGGTTAACCATGTCACCAAACTAAACCGTTCGGTGATATAACGTTAATACATTTCAAGATAGCCAGAAATCAGTTTTCATTCTCTGGCGGATTTACTCACGAGTGAAATAATTAAACGAAAATGTTTAAAAAGAACATCAAAGCATTTTGCTATGTTGATTTGTTTCTTTCTAAGAAAATCGAATGGCCCCGAGTAAAAGGTGTTAAACAGTAGCTGTTTCTTTTTAGAATTGACGTCTTACGGAGCAGGAATCTCTGACGTCTCGTCTGGTTCTTCGCTACGAAAAGAAAAGGCGACTTTTGATCCGTCACGGAAGGCCGGACACTTTCGACCGAACAGACTGCACCAAGATGTGTTTTAACTACGAGCTGTGTTTTAGTATTAAATACCTAAATGACGAAAGTTACGAAACTTAGAGGTTATCCAGCATTTGTGGCATCGTGTATAGTATGAGACAGTGTTACATGAAAATGTGTTTTGTGCCACACAACGCAAGGTAAAATCTCTGCATACAACCGTGAGATAGTCATTAGTCCACAGGAAACTTTTCTTGGTGTATTGTTGATTGGAGTTTGGTATTGTTCACCGAGTGTCTTCTGTTATATTATCGATCGCACCTTCTGCAACACCAATTAACTGCCCTACTAGGTAGAGTCAGACATTTGTAGAGATTTAATATGTCATATGAATATCCTACATTATCGCCATTGTTCATATAGATAACTATCAATAAAGTAGAAAGTCAGCGATTGCTATTTATTTTAAGAGTCGATTCAAGACAATCTGTTTTCGAATGGACATCTCTTCTTAGTTAACAACAACTCAAAATAGCCATTATCAAAGCTTTAGTATTTTCTACGGAAATGAAATGGGCTACTTTAAATGTGAAAGACGTTCATATCCGTAGAGTATTTGCCTACCTGAAAACTGTGTGGAAAATAGGCAGTTGACTGTCGTGAAGTGAAGTGAATGTACTCTGCGTAACCGCTCCCTGAGGGACCAAACTTAAATCTACCATAAATAAAAATTGGAGTTGGGAGACCAGGCAAGGATCATCCGATCATGGAAGGGAGAAAGTGATGGGCCATGGGGCGTGACAACATTTTAGTAACAAAACCTCTGAAACATGGTGATTCCATGAGGTCAAATAATGTGGAGATGGCTAGAGCGGGGATATTTACCGTCAGTTCTTTTAAGGCAATTTAATTTTGGGGGGGTAACTGGCATTGTAGGATTTTGATCTCCCCAATACAGTTGAACCTCTCCTCAAGGGCCACCCTTGGGACAGAAGAAAGTGGCCGCTAGTATGGACTGTCTGCCAAGAAAATTCACTGATTTGGCTTTGATCGTAGTGGCATTTCTAAAGGTGATAGATGGACTATCTATGCAGATGAAGTGTCCTAGTACCTCTTAAGAGGATAAATAGATGTAATAAGCGAAATATTCAAAGTTATAGTAGGCAAAAACTTTGTGCACAACCAGCTCTGCTGGCGTAACTTGGTGTCAAACAAAAGTTTTTAAAATTTTGACTAGCCCTTTTCATTTTTCTGAGCAGTGTCTCACGGCGTTTAAAGTTGTTAAGAGCAACCAACGTAAATGTTATTTAAGCCTGGTATGCCCTCGTAACCTGCATGACAAGCCCAAGGAATTTATGCAGAGAACTCCAGAGTAGCTTTGTCACAGGTTATTTCTATTGTTATTGAAAATTATCTTCTTTCTATCGATGTGATTTGATTTTCATTAGTTAAAAGCCTGAAATAGAATTTGTTTGTGTTGTTTTGTATACGTAAATAATTTGAGCCTGAGAAGGTAAAAAGTATGTATCCACGAGAAAAAGATGACATTATTGTTGACGTACTTTCATAAAAAAATCCATTAAACACGAACCTACAAAATTTTAACTCAAAGAGTAAAACAGTTAGTTGAGTTTTAAAGTTAGCGTAAAGTTTCTATTATATCTTCATGTCTTTTGGGAATTAAAGTGTTGTAACATTTTACTTTATCAATTAAAAATAGCGTTTTAAATTTTTTTGGGCTTCATTAATTTTGCTTATAATAGCAATACTGAGAAGTGTGTAACAGCGAGCTGCTTTACGGTCATTTCGCCCTTAAGTCATTTCGCCTCGGTTGCCTAGCCGCCTATTTAAGATCGAGGAATATTATATTAGAAGCGTGCTTGTTTTGGTTTTTGGGTGAAATGACCGGTAACCACAGCAAGAATATCTTTTCCAAAACTGATTGCTAGTCAATGAGGTATTTGGTGTATGTAAATTGTGTTTAACTTATGTGTGGTAGAGTAAAAACGAAAACAAAGTCGAAAGTGCTAATATTAAACTTTAATGACAAGCTCAATAAAAGTTAATTGATAAAACTAAATGTAAACTATTCTTGTTAAACGTGTGTCTAGATATTATCAAAGCCCCGGTCAAACTAAACAGTCACAACGTTTTTAATATGTTAATCTTAACAAACACACGCACAGAATATTAGTTAAGCCGTACTTGCGAAAGTACAATAAAATTGTGGCAGTGACCCAGACAAACGCAACATTTCAGGAACACTGATGCAAAGATTCTAGTTTGATCTCTTTACATCTTGCTAGAGTGTTGGGTAGGGCTTCAGACACCCGCAAAGTCTGTTCTCAAACAGTGTCGTGAAATTGGTGTGCCACTGTTTTACTGGGGTTTGAAAAAGTAGAATATGTGGTTGCTAAATCGTATTCTAGGACGTGAACCGGATCTAACGTGTAAACGAGGCCACTAAGGGCATAGTTTGTATGACATGAGCCTCGAGTTGTACCCCAGTCCCAGCTCTTTAAATTCTTGAATTTGTGTGCACCTCGTATGGGAAAATGGTACAAAAAGCTTTCGGTGCATCGAATTTTGGGATCGTTTGGGTTGACAGACCTTAGTGATTATTGGTGACTCCCTGCCGAAATCTTATCGTTGAAAGCAAGGATCCATTCTCCTTATTGTTAGGTTGATGGAGTAGACAATGGACCTCAGGACTTTCATTGATTCTCTTTCAATAGGCGTAGTTAATGTTCTGGTCTACTTATGCTGTATTTATTCCGTGAAATTCATCGATATAAAAAAGCAAGTTTACTTCGTGTCAGCTCGGAAGTGTCTCGCGAGTTGTTGAAACTAATTCCACTGGAAGAAGTTGAAAGGTAACTGGGTGGAAGAAACTCGTTGATCTTTCTCCTCCTTTTCCTGTTTGTCACTCTGTCAATCAATCGATCCTTCATCGGTCTAATAATCCGCTTAAACCGCTTGTTAAGGTATCCGTAAAGAACGAAATGAATGACAGTTCCACAATGAATCAAAGTGACCGTGAATACTTTTGCTTTGTGTGACAGCTGACCTGTCAACATGGCCGTAACCAGAACGACGAGATTCGGTAAATGACATGCGCTTAACGTACCCACGAGTAGAGCAATCATTTGAATATTCTTAATCGATACGCGAATAGTCCTTTCCGCGATTCGTCGGCTGCTAGAGTCGATGCTGTAAAAATCTGGTGGTAAATTGTCCTTCTTTTGGTGAAAATAAATGACCAAGTTTCCGTAAATAAACGTTGCTCCAAAATGCATAAGACCCAGAAATGTAAATTGTGCTGCAGCTACTCCCCGTGGGTATGCGGTGAAATTGATACGTCCTTTTTCTTCGTAAAATGACACAAGCGCTGCATAAACTAAAGAAATGATCCACGTTAAACTGATGAAAACTCCGATTTGCTTCATGGAAACGCGACAAAGCTTTTCCCCGCACAGAGCCAGGCCATATCTCATAACGGCAATAAGGAACAAGGCCTGAAAATATATACTCATGGAAAATGCTTCAACGTAACTTTTCAAGTAACTAAATTGCGACGACTCGCAAGAGCTTAACTGCAGTACGTCGCCCAGCAATGTAAAAGGCCCTGATACAACTCCTACAAGAAGTCCTGCAGCACATAAGTTCAACACCAGCATGGCCGAAGGTATGCGTAGCTTCCTTTCCTTGTAGACGGCGTAAAATAAGCTTGAAGCAACCAAGAAAGAGGTCAAAGCGAAAATACAGAACACCACGATAGCAAATGCTATGCTCAGCTTATTTACAGCGTCAAAATCCATATTTAGCAGTCTAAGTTCGCTTTAAAATTTTGTGACAACCTGCTGAGTACATCTGGTCAATGTCAGTAAGACCTGGACAATTATTCATCCCTTAGCCTTCATTCGCAATTGTAGCGTGCTCAGTGAATGAAGTGCATTCCTATTGTTTCACATCTTATCTTTCATTGTTTTTTATATCTCAACTATAATTTACACAAGCAAGTTTCCTTGACAACGTTTTTTGCTAATGCTTATGGATGACATTTGGGCATACCATGGGTTGTCGTGGTTTTGCGAAACTATTGTTGCTTCGCTTTTTGTTTTTTGGTGTGGGTATTATCAGTGTCTTTTTATTTTTTTTTAATTAACGTCAGTTTGTAACACTGGGCTCTACTGTTTCGTTTCGTCAGGTAAATAAAATTCCGGCAGGGGACCGCGCGCCACCACTGCGTAAAGGTGGATTTCCACTGTCGGATAATTTTTCCGTGCGTAAACACGTATATCTTGCGCGCGTAAGTAAAATAGAGACCTTGTATGGAAGGTCAAGCATATACCTAAAAGTTGAACCTCGCTCAACTTTTACGTTTACACGTGGGCTTTAATACATTGTCTCTATTTCATTTACGCACGTACATTTTTCGTGCGTTAAAAATTACGCGACAGTGGAAATCAACTTCAACTACCGCGTAATTTTCACCTGAGTAAGTACGTAAATTTTACTCCCGTAAATAAAATAGAGGCGATGTTTGAAAGTCTGCGCACAAACGTAAAAGGTGAGCGAAGTTCAACTTAAAAGTTTACGCGTGACTAGCCTGTGAACAGGCTCTCTGTTTGGGGGAAAAAATAGCAAGGAAAGGGAAGGGAAAGGGGGCTTTTCCCTCCGTATTTCCACGCTCGACCAAAGGCCTGTTCACAGGCTAACGCGTGACCTTCCATACATTGCCTCTATTTTATTTATACGCGTAATATTCACGTGCTTACACAAGTAAAAATTACACGACAGTGGAAATTCACCTTAAGAGAGAATGTATGAGCTGTACCCGACTGGGCCCGATCTCAGTTTAATTGTTCATTCTAATAACCATTAGAAATATGTGTCTCGCATACCCTGGCCCAACTAGGCGTTTAAAAATAGTGCCACTCAAGTTATACCGTGTAGGCGGGGTTCCCTGAACTGGATGGCTGACCCGCTGCGAATATCACTGTCGTTTAGAACCCTAGTTCTTTATTTTCCCTTTTTTTTTCCCGTTTTATTCTTAAAAGCATATTGAAAATAACTTTTAGCATAACTTCGAACGCCGGATGAGAAAAAAGATAGCAATCAAACAAACAAGGCGGGTTCACTAGGTTCTTCGGCCGATCAGCGGGTAAAGTGCTAAGTTAATTTTGCATTGGGTGTGCCTCGGTGAAGCGTGAATTCCAAGGCTAATTTCCGAGACGAAAGCAAGGTTTTAGATAATGCGAATTTTGACAAAATTATATATCTTCGCTACGCGAGGGCCTCGCTGTCCTCGCTCCGCAAATAATAAGGGGAATGGGAACAAGCTTTCGGCGCAACGATTTCTTAATTAGTTCGGTGGACAAGCGTCACTTATGGTTGGTTACTGGCTTACTTGAATACCATCGACCATATATCCATCATAACAAACGCTAGTCTCCTTCGCAGCCGTTTTTTGGATGTCACGCAACGCTCCCCCTCACGCTTCCCCTTTGGGGGAGCGTTGCGTGATATCCAAACAACGGCTGCGAGGGAGACTAACGCTTGTCCACACTCATTCAAACGATCTCAGAACTCACTACACCCAAAGCTTGTACCTATTTTTCCTAGGGTTCTTGAATGGGGGAATGCTTGATTTAAGGCGTTATTGACCAAGCTTGATGTCAATAAAAGGATATATATTGAGCAAGTTCTCTTTTGCGAGCGAGGAGCGAAACCGCCCTCGCACTCTCTTCTCCCTTCAGGAGCTGTTCTTGCGTGTTTTATTGTGACTCCAACTAATAGAAAGCTTTCTCGCAAAGCTAATAATTAGCCTGCGTAGCAGGCGCTTGGAAGCAGTGGGTGAAAGAGAGAACGGGCGCGCGCGGGAGACAAGCGTGTCTCCTTCTCGCGCGGCCCTTTTTTCTTGTGCCCACTACTTCCAAGCGTCTACGCAGGCTAGCTAATAACGATATAACGACGATATTAGGCCTTTCCTCAGTTGAATTTGAGAATGGGGAGGCACTGAACTCGATCAGTTTAGTAGTTCGTATTTCAATGGCGACAGCTCTTTAACAAAAAGAAGTAAAAGATTTCAGAGACCTCAGTGTTTTGCATCAAGCTTTAGCTTTGTAATTATTTCAGGTCTGAACCTGACCCAAATCAAGCGCATCATTGGTTTTTCCCCTAGCCAGAGGGATTTCGGTTTCGAAACCCAATGTAAACCTTATGTGACTCGGCCCATCTCAAAACTATCCAGTTTTGAAAGTTTGTCATGAACGATTGCCACTTTGACCTTTTCCCAGTGAGTATTCAGCTTATTTTGGGCTCCTTCAGTTTATTCTAAGAGTCCAGTAAATAAACTCTGACTCTCACTTTTCTAATTACTGACGAAGAATCTCTAATTTCGTTTTGTGATGACAGTGAAAACAAATCAGTTCCATGTATAAATTATTTAAATATTACCAGGGAAATGTTTATTTTCAATGGGATACCAGCTAGAACTGCATCAGTTGCGTATCACCTCAATTAATGGGCTCCATGCAGCCGTAAAGCAATAACTCGGCCCGCTAGGTTTAATCTTGACACATAACTTTGCCTGAGCGTAAGAAATAAGAATGCGATCAAGACTTTGTAATACAGAAGAGACGATATGCACCGTTTCCGTGTACGGGCAAGGGGAAATTACCTTTACATACCAAAA